GGACATATTGGCTCAGCCCAAATCAGGTATGTTAGTAGGAAAGAAGAAATTGTTTTGGTAGGTAAATAATAGCATTGGCCACAACTGCAGTGTGCTGATTTTACTTCTGAAATGGCTCTCAGTTCTTCCTACCTCACTTTCTACTGGCTTAGCTCTGGTCCTCAGAGTCTTTTAATTTGGCTCTTGGAGGCAAGCTCTGAACTGACCCATCAACTTCCAGCCCATTCTCCATCAGCTGCCAGACTAACACTTCTAAAATTCAAGTCTGATCATGGCACCCCCAGGATAAGAACTTTCACTGGCTCTCTCTCTCTACTAATGGCCCTTCTTTCAAGCTTGACTTTATTCCTGTCCTTCTCCCCACTCTTACGCATCCTTCAAGACCAAGTCTAAATGTCTCTTTTTCTGGGAAATCCTTCCTTCATTGCTCTTGACTAACAAAAACTACTACTCTCTCCTTTTTGTTCTCATAAATCTTTTTAACATATCAAGAATAATGCCTGTTATATAATATTACAGAATTATTTGCTCAGATGTCTGTCTCTTGCTGGATTATATTACCCTTAGCAGCTAGTGTAATACCTAGCACATAGTAAGTATGTGCTAGGCAGAAGGAGCTACTTGTTTCCTAATATCTCCTTATGGCAGAAGGAGCTACCTGTTTCCTAATATCTCTTCTCACCCTCTTTATCAGTAAAGGAACTCTAATTTTTAGTTGAGCCAATGGTAACTTTGAATAAGGACCGAATATTTCAATCTCCCTTATAGTTATTTGAAGCCATGTGACATAATGCCTAGAGCCAAAGCAGCCATATTGGATCATGAGATGACTTTGTGAATAGAAGCTGTGCTTAGTGGATAGAAAAGATAAAAGAGTGTGGGTCTTGACGTGGTATATAATGCTTTATTGGCCTAGGCCTGCTTCTGGAGTTTCAGGTGGAAGAGAGAAAAACCTCTGTTGTTTGAGCCACTATTATTTTCAATTTTCCATCATTAGTAGCTAAGCTATTTTAACTGGTAGAAATATATGTACATGTATAAGTTACATAATATAATATGTAAATAGTACATAAATATACAATAAATGTAATAAATTATATCAACTATATGGCTTATATAATACAAAAAATATATATGTGTGTGATTGTGTGTATATGTGTGTTTAACTGAATTGGTTGAAACACTGTTGGCTGGAACCTAGCATGGCTTGACAACTGTAGGTCCATAGGCTACATTAGGTTCTCGGATATATTAGATATGCATTCATATATTTTAAGATCTGTGAATATAGGAAGGGCGTACCTTCCAAACCCCTGTGGCCTCATATCTGACTGAACGTGCCTGTGCACACTACCTATCCCAAGTGCATTAGCATTTTGCAGCCCCTTGTCCTAAAATGAACTTTGCTTAGCTTATAAGGAATGGATTATTCAACAGCTTCTTGCCGAGTATTTGGCTGCCCATTTGCTCTTCTGATGTCTACCTGATTCAAAGAACCATTTATAAAGGGAGGAAAAGGTCAGAATAAAAACATTTCACTCAGCCTCTAAAAACAGAGTTCAGTCCCTGAGGGAAAGTTGCCTCTCTCTGATGGAATTGGCACTAATCACTTACATGCAATGGCAGGACCAAGGCCAATCATTTGTGGGGTTGGGGGTGGATGGGGTTGTCTCCGGTCATGGGTTGGTGTTTCCTCTGCTGGGAAGAAGGCAGAACTCTCCCACCCTCCTGAATGCCACCTCTGACCCAGATGTGCAGTCAGATGTCATATTGGGCAAGTGGGCCATCCCACATCTTGGGATCCGAAGGTTATTTAGTAGAAATTTTCACTATTTTGACATTCGAAATCTGGTATAATGTAAATGAAGGAAAAAAAATGTCTATGGAGTTTTGTAGGCCTTACCCAAATACGTTGGGGGTGGGGGTGGAAATCACCTCGGGGGAGTTATCAGAAATAAAGACAATCTAGGGCTCTTTTTTTTAAACAATTTTATTTATTTATTCATGAGAGACACAGAGAGAGAGGCAGAGACATGTGCAGAGGGAGAAGCAGGCTCCCTGTGGGGAACCTGATGCGGGACTCCATCCCAGGACCCTGGGATCATGACCTGAGCCGAATGCAGATGCTCAATCTCTGAGGCACCCAGGTGTCTCAATCTAGGGCTCTCGACCCAAGGGGCCTTGCCACTCACATGGGATTATCAAGAGCAGTGGTAAAGAGCATAGCTTAGGTCAGAAGTTCTGGGTTCAAATCCTTGCTTCCCACACTCTACCTCGGTGACCTTGACAAGTTGCTTGACCTCTCTGTGCACAATAGATCTGCTGTGTGCTAGAGCTGGCTCATCCCTGTCAGAGGGCTGGGTGTTTGGATATCTTCCCAATTGTGTTCACTGATGCCATGCTGGCTATGGTGGGAGTTTTTAGACCAGGGAAACTGGCTAATCCAGTCTCCGCCTGCTAACCCTTATACCCACAGAGTATGAAACATTTGCCAGCAACCACATCACATTTCCTAATTTGTACGGTGAGGCTGATAACACCTATCTCTCCCAGAGGCTGAATTGAAAGGACTTATGGGAAGCACAAGTGATAGCCCTAATACATGTTGGCATTCTAAGCTCTATTATTTTTGAGGATATTCTTTGGTCAGGGGCAGAAGCAAGATTTGACTTAATCTGGGACACCTGAGTGGCTCAGCAGTTGAACGTCTGTCTGCCTTTGGCTCAGGGCATAATCCAGGGGTTCCAGGATTGGGCCTCGCATCAGGCTCCCTGCATGGGGCCTGCTTCTCCCTCTCTGTGTGTGTCTCTCTCATGAATGAATAAATCAAATCTTAAAAAAAAAATTTAACTTGCTCTAACATTGGTTGGCACTACCATTTAACCTCCTGGTATCTGTTTTGCCCCTGGGGCTTATTTGACTGTCATGACAGACTGTCAACCTGCTCTGAAATTTGAGTTACAGAACTATGTGTTCGGACTTAGAAAATGGGCCAGTTTGACAGAGTGATGCCAGAGTTTTGGAAGAAAAGCATGGCATGATGCACAGGAGTGGGGGATGCACCTCAACCTGACTGTGGGGGAAAATGGATCACAACCAAAGAATGCTGGAGTGCAATGGGCTCTAGGAAACCATGCAATCCAAACCCTTGTTTTACATACAGGAGACCTACAACTCTCAGATGGAGGCTTGGGTTTTCCTCTGCTATTGTTCCAGTCCCCCCTCCTTTTTTAAAGATTTTATTTATTTGAGAGAGAGAGCATGAGCACAAGTAGGGGGTGCAGAGGGAGAGGGAGAAGTAGACTCCATGATGAGCAGGGAGCCTGATGCAGGGCTCGATCCCAGGACCCTGAGATCATGACCTGAGCTGAAGGCAGATGCTTAACCAACTGAGCCACCCAGGCACACCTGCAGTTTCCTTTTTGACCAGGCTGATGCAATCACTGTCTTCAAGAGGTATCTGCATCCCCCTGTTCACTGCAGCGTTATTCACAATAGCCAAGATATGGAAACAACCTATTGATGGGTACATGGATAGAGATAAAATATATGGGCAGCCCCGATGGCACAGCGGTTTAGCGCTGCCTGCAGCCCGGGGTTTGATCCTGGAGACCCGGGATCGAGTCCCACGTCGGGTTCCCTGCATGGAGCCTGCTTCTCCCTCTGCCTGTGTCTCTGCCTCTCTCTCTCTCTCTCTCTCTCTGTCTCAATAAATAAAATCTTAAAAAAAGGATAAAAATATATATGTGTATGTATATAGTGGAATATTATTCAGCCATAAAGACGGGAATCCTGCCATTTGCAACAACATGGATGGACCTTGAGGGCATTATGCTAAGTGAAATAAGTCAGGCAGAAAAAGACAAATACTGTATATTTTCACTTATATGTGGAATCTAAAAGAAACAAACTGGGGCACCTGGGTGGCTCAGTGGTTGAGGATCTGTCTTTGGCTCAAGGTGTGATCCTGGGGTTCTGGGTTTGAGTCCCACATTGGGCTCCCCATGGAGAACCTGCTTCTCCCTCTGCCTATGTCGCTGCCTCTCTCTCTGTGTCTCTCATGAATAAATAAAATCTTAAAAAAAGAAAAGAAACAAACCCCTAGAAATAGATTGATGGTTGCCAGATATTGGGGATGGAGGATGAAGGAAATAGGTGAAAGTGGGGGGAAAAAAGAGAAAGAAAATGTTTTAAAAGAGGAGGCATGATATTCCACATCAGAAGTTTTAAGCGGCCTTTGGGCAGAATAATCATGCTTTGCATTCAGCCAGCACTTAAATAGCTCCTTTTTTTTTCTCAGTAAATATCTCATGAATTAATTTCCATGAATATAGAATGACTTAATTGATGTCATATTAAGATACAAAAACAAAAGCCAGTATACGAGATGGTATAAAGGCTGGAAAGACAAAGCCCGAAATGCCAAAAATGTGTGTCTTTCGATAGTGTTAGTCAGACAAAGCTGGCTTTGAATTCTGGTTTTGCTTACTGGTGGTGTGACCTAGAGCAAGTGCTTCACCAGCTATCTGATTCTGTTTCCTGCTTTGTGAAATGAGAAGGCAAGCCATTCCTGTCCTCCAATGGGTTGATATGAGACTTGTATGAAGGCACATCTATAAACTGCACATCACTGCCTGTTATGGACCATCTACCACTAAATCAAAGAACTGTCCTGGACATTCATCCATCAGATCAGAGGCCCTCTGATGCTCCTCCACCTCTGGATATTTCTTTGTTCTCTGGTGCTTTTTCCAAAAGGTACTGGGAAAAAAGAGCTCATGATGTCAGGAATCTAGGGATACCTTCAATGGGAAAGGAATTAGAGTGAATGGTTAAGTGAGGTTTCTAGGTCAATCTCACTGGAAAGAATGAGCTCAAATCTTGGAATTGTGAGGAAAAGTATGCATTAAGCCTGAAAGTTACATTCCTTTTTCATGGGGGAGAAAATATTCACCTTTTTTCAGAGACAGCAGAATGGAGAGGACACCACCAGACCATACTCAAATCTATATAAAGCATTTAATTAAAAAAGTCCTATAAAATAATAATAAATGCAGATTTCCCCATCTAGTGTAGTTAAGAAAGCATAGGAGGCTGAAAGACACACATTAATTTAAAATTTCATCATAGGAAGTCACATGACCTTTTGCACACAATATAAAAAAAGTCCTCAAGTTGCTCGTTGGAATAGCAGCGTTTAAGGTTTTTCTTGACACACTTGTTTATTCCTTTGGGATGTGGCAGTGTAGTCATGGGAGAAATGTTCCCCGGAAAGTTTGGTTTAAAACTCCTTTGAATGTTTTCATGGCAACGTCAGACAACCATGAAAAGCTAAGAGGGTCACACTGGAGGTCTAACTTTGGTAAATGATACAGAGCTGTACTTGGTAGGAGATAGGTAAAATGTGACATCAAGGAGCATTATTTTGTTGTAGGGTCTGACATACTCGTAAAGACCTGACTTAGGTTCTAAAAATCATGGAGCCCAAGACTACACAGAAATGACCAACACCAAGTTGAACAGTATGCTCAGCACTAGTTTCCATACAAAACATTTCAAACTAAGTTCTTTATGATGTGGACCAGATTTTCCAAGGGATTGAGTTGCCTCCAAGCTTTAAACGAGGCCTTGGAAGCTCACCTTGGTGCCTGGGGAGTTTTCACGAACATTTAACTCAAAGGAGAGTCTGAAAGAGGAATAACAGCTTCCAGCTCAGGGCCTGGAGTTCCCTAGACAAGGCTGTCCTAATGTGGCTCCTGGAGCTGTGAAGATCTCTCTTCTCAAATGTCTTTGTTGGAAAATATAGCAACAGATGATGAATAGGGGCATCTGAGCTCTGGCCAGGCCCCCCAGAGCTTTTGTACCCTAAAGGATTTCAAAATGGAGATGGAGCCTCTGCTTTACCCTGGCAACCCAAGTCCTTTCTGTGACAGCAGAACGTTTATAAAAACATAATTAAATGCCATCTGATATTTCCCTCTACCCCCCATATCGCTTCTTTCCTTCTCAAATCCCACTCCTCCCAAAGCTGACAAACTAAAGCAGAAAATGACAGGTGAGATGGCAATTAACTGGCTCATGCTCATGTCTTGAGGTAGAGATGACAGAGCAAAAAAAAGCAGAGAAAACAGAAGTCTATTACTGGCTCCTGATTTGCAAAATGTAGACAGAAGTCAGTAGGGGAAACTGTTAGCCCTTGCACTTGGTGGTCTTTGAGAATGAGCTTGTTCTTCTCTTCCTGACCAGCTGGGATAGAGACCCCATGGTAAGCCTGGAGGTGTGGGGAGGATGGTTTTTATATACAGAGAGAACTGGACCCATCTTCTGGAGCCCCAGCTCAGAAGACAAGCAGCTGAGATATGCAGCTGGGTGAGGAATGGATTTCCCTGTACCTCTGTCACCTGTGTCATCAAGAAAGACTTTAAAGGTGGGTGACAGATCCCCAGGAATGGACTAGGACTTACAGTGGCAGAAGTGACCCAAGGGGACAAATGTCCAAGACCAGATGGGTCAGTAGTCACTTCTGCAGAAGTCACTGTGAGCTGATGACATTGAAAGCCACTGCTCTGACCCTTTGTCACCAGCTAGTACCAGTAACTCCATCTTTCCCCTCCCTACCCCCAGGGAAAGAGTATATGTGTATGTGGAGACTCCCTCTGCATGTTCACAAGATGGGAGCTAAAAGTGGTTCTGTTAGGAAAGACAAATTACTTTTTATACCTGAGTTGTAGAATAAGATATATCCTTGGTTACATGTGCTTTTGACCTTTCTGTCTTTTGCTGATTTAGCAACGAAGCAGAAAAACACACTGGTAACTTCTAGCCATATCCTTGTGGGTTCTGAAGTCATAGAACTATAGCCACATGCTGGGCCATGGTGTAATCTTTGAGTACTAGCCTGTCTCCTACCCACATGTTTTACAGAAAACGCAACTGAGGCCCCTTCCATCACTGGTAGGACAGGGTAAAGAGAGGAAGAGGATATGCTAGGCAGTCTGTTTTGAAATGAGATGAGGATCTTCATCTGAGTGACCAGTGGTGAGCATATGTTGTCCATCAGTCTGCAGCCTACACACTGTGTGAGCCAAGGATGCCATCTGTCCAGGGAGGACCACATTTGGCTCACCCTCTGCGTGTGGGCAGGTCTGCTTTGCTTCATTCCTGTCCACCAGTTAGCTTGTGGAACAGGTCCTCGTCGAGTGTCTCATTCTGGTCCTTAGACCGAGTGGACAAGAAAATGTAGCCACCGATGTATTCGTGCACGATTTTGCAATCTGCACTCAGGCAGGTGAACGCAATGGAGACATTCTGGTCAAATTCAATTGCCACCTGCAAGAGGAAGGCACAGGTAAACTCACACTCTGGCAAGGAAAATGGGGAAAAAACTGCCCTGTTATGGCCCCAGAGCTGAGGACTGCGTAGGTAGCTTACAGATGATCTCCCTCTGCTGCCCCCTGCCCAACAAAATCCACAAGAAACCCAACCCAATCACCATTTCCATTAAACGCTTACAGAAAACAAGTCTTTGCTCCCTGCGCCCTCTTGTGGTGTAAACTTTGCTGCACACCTAGCAAAACATTCTAACTCCCAACACAGAGATACTTTTGGCTGCTCTTGTTTAGATGTAGGAACTTCCTAAGCATTTCCTCTCTCAAGGGGCAGGGTGCTTCACAGACTTTTTCATGGAGAATAAAAGGTTTAGTCATAAACTCTAAACACTAGAAGAAACAGATTCCAGGGGTTCTCAACCTTGGTTGCCCATTGGAATCACCTGTGGTCCTTTAAAAATTGCTGCCAAGGCTCCCACCTCCCGAGATTGGGATTTTACTAGTCTAGTGTGTGGCCAGTGCAGTGGTGTGTGACAGCTCCCCAAGTGGTCCTAATACGCAACAAGGTTTTAAGGCCACTGCCATAGAGGTCACCTGATCTCAAGCTTCTATTCTATAGATGAGTGCCCACATGGTTAACAGCCCTGCCGAGAGGAATCCATGGTTCTTTAAAAAAAAGGTAAGTCTCTTACCATCCCTCTAGGGTAGATGGCTTTCTACTGGAAAAATGAGAAAAAAAAGGAGGCAAGGTTCTATACCAGCAACATTGGAATGTTTTAAATCAGCTGGATGCTAAGGTGCCCCTGACTTGATCTAGAATTTCCCATGCTATAGCCTTGGCTTGAACTTAGCTCCTAGGGTTCAACTGATGGGAGGCAGAGGTTTTGGGGGTTCCTTAACTAAGGAGGCAAGGCTTTTCTCAGTCATCCCTGCTCATATCACTTGCTTCTCTTACCAGTTTTTCCCTTTGGGGACTGGAATGTTCTCCAGGTGGGCAGTTGAGCTGTTGAGTCCTCAACTAGTTAGACCTCTTGGCAGCCAGTCAGATGAAGCTTTTTTTGATTCATTTTGGATGACAGTCCCATCTCACGTAATTTCTGCTAAGTAATTACTAGCCTATGTCTTACATAATCCCATGGTGAGTTGAAGGAAACTAATCAAACTGCTCAGCAATTTTAGAGTATGTAGAGTCTATATGGAGACTAAGCCAACTTGTGGTGTTAATTCAAAACCATTTGGCCTATACCTGTTAGTAAATTGTCCAGAACTGCATGTGATTATTTTAGCAGACAATTACCACATGCTTGTGGTTTCTGAGTTCTAAGTACACGAACAGAGTAATCTACAATTCTGATGGAACACACATTTATAGCCTCAACACTGAAGATGCCAAAAACTTTCACTGTACCTGCCGGATTTCCCAGTTTACGTTCCACTGTTTCATATTTGTGAATCTCCAAGTTGTAATTGGAATCCCAGTGGTTGCATCAATTCTAATCAACCTATTATATGAAACTCCCAGAATATCATCTTTCTTACTTCCTTTAAATCTACAAAAAAATTAATATGAATTAAAAGAAGCAACTGCTTCCTATAATATGATTTTCATTCATACACTATTTTTAAAAAAGATTCATTCATTCATTCATTCATTCATTCATTCATGAGAGATAGAAAGAGAGAGAGGCAGAGATATAGGCGGATGGAGAAGGAGGCTCCAGCAGGGAGTCAGATGCAGGACTGGATCCCGGATCCTGGGATCATGCACCGAACCTAAGGTGGACTTTCAACTACTGAGCCACCCAGGTGTCTCCATACACTAATTCTTAAAGATAATATGAAAATTTCTAAATGATATCCAAAGAATGGACAGTGAGGGATTAACTTTCTACAGAAGGGCATTTTTATTGTGATATGAAGATAATATGAAGAATGGAGGGAATTAAGTCTGTCCCACAGACATCCTTTACCTGAAATTGACATCAGAGTAAAGCAAAGTAAGACAGGGTCAGGTCAATTTATTTAAAATCAACTGTAGGGATTCCTGGGTGGCTCAGTCGGTTAAGTGTCTGCCTTGGGCTCAGGTCATGATCCCAGGGTCCTGGGATACAGCTACACATTGGCCTCCTTACTTGGCAGGGAGCCTGCTTCTCCTTCTCCCTCTGTATGCTGCTTCCCCTGCTTGTGGTCTCTCTCTCTCTCTGTGTCAAATAAATACATAAAATCTTAAAAGAAATAAAATCAACTGTGTATGCCAGCCACTCTTTTAGGCACAGGGAATATACACTATTGACTTAATTGGAGAGCAACTATCTAATTCATGGAGCTTATATTTGGGGGGGGGTGGACAGGGTCATGAATAAGTGAAATATATATGGCAGATAAGATCATGAAGGAAAATCAAACATAGAAGGGAGCAGGGAATACTGCCAATGAGGTGGTGACAGTTTTAAAAAGGGAGTCAGGGAAGATTACAGTGAGAGAGGACATTTGATTAGAGTTGTTTGTGAGGGAATGAGCCACATGGGAATTAGGGGAAAGAGCATTGTAGGCAGAGGGCACAACCAGTGCAAGGCTGTAGCTTTTTTTTTTTTTTTTTTGTGGCATACTCAAGGACCTGCCAGGAAGCCAGTGTGCCTGGGCACAGTGAAGAAGGGTCAGAGAATGTGAAATCCCCAAGCTAAGGTCTTATAGGGCCATTGTAAGGATTTGGCTTATACACTGAGTGAATCAGAGGGCTTTCAGATTGTTCTGGGAAGACGCCCACTCTGGTTTGATTCAAATCTTAAAAGGATCACTCTAGCAGCCAATTTGAAAATTTGGGGGAAGAAGGGGAGAAGCAGGGAGCCCAGATAAGTACTGAAGAGAAGGTGTGGAAGATTATTACGAGCAGCCAATGTGTTTGGGCCATTTGTGAGAGACCAGTTTTTTTTTTTTTAAGATTTTATTTATTTATTTAAGATAGTGAGAGAGAGCACAAGCTGCAGGGAGAAGTAGAGGGAGAGGGAGAAGACTCCCTGCTGAGCAGGGAGCCCGATGTGGGGCTTGATCCCAGGACCTGTGATTGTGGCCTGAGTCAAAGGCAGATGCTTAACCGACTGAGCCACCCAGGTGCCCCAGAGGACAGTATTCTAAAATTAAAAAGAGTTCTACATTCTAGACTGAGAATAAACTGGGGTCCAAGAAAGGCACTTAGAAACACACAAAGTGAGAGAGGCAAGTGAACATTGTAATCACCTGACAAGGTAGTAGGTGAGGCCAAATTCAGGTAGCGATTGCCACGCCTGGATGAACCTCAGTTTGGCTTCGACCAGTGGCATCTGGGCCACATTCTGGTGGGCTTCTAGAATCCGGGCTGCCAGCTAAGAAGAAGCGGTAGACACTGAACCATCCTTAGCATACACGTACTATACTATAATCATCCCTTTAACTCAGATCCCCAGTGAGAAAAATAAATGCAAGGCCCAACTGTAACTCTATGAAGACAATTCATTTCCATTCATTCATCCTCTGTTCCTCTCTGTCCTACTATAAAAGATGTAAATCACTGGGGAGAAGAAGGAGCAACACCAGCCAACACCTAAACTTCTAAGGTTCATGGAGATGGAAAGTTCTAGGTCCTGTTTCTGGGATCCGTATAGGGTCTGTGGACAATGGTTCTACTTATACCAGTTCATCTGCATAACTCTTAGCCCCCTTGAATGGAAGTATAATTAAAATTTTTAATTTGTGGGGACTAAGTAATTGTAATGAAGCCTGGGAATACTGCCATGTTCAGTTAGCTCTAACAAAATGTAGTCTGCTCTAACAAAACGAATGATGATTTAACATCGTCTAATACTGAGCCCAGAGTCAAAAATCCCCATCAGCTGATTTTGCATGATGGTGGCCTTGATCATTTTAATTCATTTTACTTCAGAAAATACAGAATTTACTGCAAACCATTGCTCCAACAAGATTAGCAGTACCTGCTTAGACTTCTGTTTTTTTGCACATCTAGGTGACACGAAACATTCAGGGTTCATGTCCATGCTTTCGAGATTGGAAGCCACCTGAGATGACACGTTTCGGTTTTTCATCCTCAGAAATGAAAGGATGTTGAGGACCTCTGGCTGATAGGAGCTGTCTGCCATGGTTTTGCCCTTCGATGCCAGAATGCAGGCAGCCATCCACTGGGCATACTGATTCTCCTGCAGCAAACATCAGGGGGCTGAGACACAAATTCAAATGCAAAGCCACCCGGCTGTGAACAGAACAGGACGTGGGCTTTCATCTCTACAATATACAAAACTGTCACCTACCAAGAAAGGAAAGATGTGAAGGGGCACATGTTTTAAGTGGCTGTCAATCACCTAATTTAACACCCAACAAAAGCTTTTGAGTCCTGTGTTGAGTTTCTCTACGCTAAGGGGCTAGAGAATAGGAATGTCAGTTGTCATAAATTCCATGTTGGGAACTTGGCATTGAAAGATGAACTGAGGACACAGGAGTGCATGGCACACAGAAAGGTGGAAACCCAAACTACATGACAGCCCTCCTTGATACATATTTCCATTTTCACATCATGTCTGATCTCTATTACAGAAGGAAAAGAGGCAAAAAATCATTAACTGATTTCTCGTATTTTGTCTACCCTGACCTATCCTTAGTAAAGATTCTAATTCCAAAGCAGAAATGAGGTCCACTGATGGGCTCTGAACCAGTCAGTGGTGGCCTCTATTGCTCTGTAATGTTTGTGTTCATTCTTTGCCTAGGGGAGCCAAGAGAAGTAGTCCTAGAAGCAGAGGGGATGCATTTAAAGAGTGAAATTCTAAAGAGCAACAGCAGGTATGGTACACTGAATTACTGGCCTCAGTCTTCATCTTCCTGGTATTCACACTTTTTGCCATGTAGTTTTACAATCTGTCATTGGAGCCAGAGTGTAATTTCCTACCTCTTGACTTTGAACCCCACCATGGACTTCAGCCAAAAGAATGTGGGTAGAAATAACAGTGTACTACTTGCAAGCCCAAGCTTTAGGAGGTCTTCCATATTTGTAGTTTCTCTCTCGCATTTCTGCCATCACTATGAGCAGAGTGTCCCCAGGCAGTCTGGCACCCAGAATAAGTGCAGTGAGCTAGTGAGCTTTACTTCCAGAAGGCCTAGTCAGACCTACAGCTAGAAGCAGGTCTGTCCAGGTGACACTAGGCTGGATCATCCAAGCCCCAGCCTACTCACCTGTGTTTCAGAGACAAATGTTTATTGATATATGTCATTTGATTTTGTGGTTGTTTGTTACAAAGCAATAACTGACTGACGAGTGCTCTGATTTGAGACAACATCTCAGCTGGTTTGTCCTTAGGCTCAATAAAGGGGAAAGGACGTAGCATTTTTGTGATTTTACTTACATGGTCACATCTCAGATACACTTCATTCATACCATCAGCAACCGGGATTAGTAACTTGATTCCAAATTTTCTCCCTGCTACATTGACATCTGGCACAACTTCACAGCCTGGATGATAAAAGGCAGGGACAAAACCAAGTTCTGAGAAATCTGTTATGTAAATCAGATGTGCATTTAAAAGAAACACTTTGAACATAAGCCCTTCAGATTTGGTTCTCCTCTGAAAAATTGAGAAGCAAGCAGACAACATTAATTAAAGGATAACTAAATAAGACTCATGAACAATTTGCATGGATAACAAAAAAATATTTTCTGTTGTGGTTTTCTTAAATATGTCATCAACTGAATTCATTTCTCAGATCAATTTGGCTATGCTAACTCATAGTAACATGGAGTGATGAATATGAACTTTTAAATAAACCAAAGGAGAGGGAATTCTCTTACTGTCACAATGATAAGGGAATTGAGTGCACTGGTTAGCTAAATATTTCAGTTGATGGTGTTATCAGTACACTCATAGCCACTTTCAGAAATTAGAATGGAAACTAAAGTGACATTGAATTAAATATAACCATTCTGGAATTTAGACCAGACCCTACAATGCCTCATGTACTACATGGATGACACCAATTACCACCACTTTGTAGACTTGGACATACTGGGGAAGAAGGGACAGCAGAAGGCAAATAATCACAGTTATTGCACCACATTTCAGGTCCATGCTCCGGGGGAAGAGGATCTGCAGGCAGGCTGCCATGGGGAAACCAATGAAATAGAGAGGTTCCTCTGGAAGTAAGCCCTGCTTCATTGGGTCTTGGTTGGGTCATGACAAGCCATACCCATACATAGGACTCTCTTACCTCTAAGATTTAGTTTTTCTATTGGTTCTCCTTGCTCAAGTTCCTTATTTTTAAAGTAGGCTATAGATGTGTCTTTAAAGATGAACCAATATTGTTTGAAAGCCTTTAGCATTAGCTTCTTGGGCCTGCAAATTAAAGTACAGTAAGCATTTTAACATCCAGAAGGCATCCTGAAATGTAGGGGGGACACACTGCAAATTTCAAGGGGATCAAGATGCTCTAGAAAGCTATTCAAACAACATACTCTTTATTTTGAAATAAACATACTCTTTATTTTGAAATAATTTTCAAATTGTGAACTCATTTCTAAAAACTAAAAGTGAGGTTTTTAATAGGAGATGTAGAAGTTAATGCAGAATCTCAGCATTCAAATCACTTTGGCTTTGCTACTGCCTAATATGTGACCTTGGGGAAGACACGTCATCTGCTTGGGCCATGTGTAATGCCTCTGTGTGATGGGGATAGTATCAGCCTCCAACTCATAGGGTTTCTGTGAGGATGAGAAGAGGTAATCTCTGAAAGTGCTTATCACAGGATCTGGCATAACGGAAGTGCTCAATAAATTATTATTATTATGATTATGATTATTGAAACATCCATGAATCTGAGGATCTCTGTAATTTCAGTATTCCTTTGGGATCTGAAAAAGCTGTCCATATGGACAGCACAGCTTTCAAAGTACCAGGCATAAAAACTAGATCTAAAAGTAAGCAACCTTTTCTATAGTTTCCTCTTGATCCTTAAGAGAAATAACCAGAGCATTCCCAGTGAATCATGGAAATCACAAAAACCAACAGCTAATAATCTATGTAGATTCTACTGTTACTAAAAAGTGTTTTGGGGGAAGATCTCCAAAAGTGAGATCTGTGGGGCCAGAACACTTTGTACTCTGGGTTGGTGGTGCCAATGACAAGTGTTGGGTCATTCGAAATAGAAAACATGAGAGAGCTGGGGAGTAGGAAAGGGAATACAGCTGGGCAGAGAAAAGATAATATACGCTGTCCATGGTTCCATGGAGCAGTCCTGGCTGTGGGGATGAATCAAGGTATCTTATGCTAGAGCAGTGGATTTCTGCACTTGAGAATGAGAGAGCGGAAGCCTAGTTTTAACCCCACTCATACATAATTTGGGGCAAGTTTTTTAACATGTCAGTCCTAGACTTTCCTTAGCTAAAAATGCATTGTCCTTAACACATGTATAAGGGAGAAGATGTTCATTTAAAAACCAGTGTGTTACATAAAAATTATAGAATAAAATTGTAAAACATCATATGCAGTTAACATTACCAGGATTTAGAAAACCCCTGCATTTAAATAATATTTGTCATGTTGAAAGCTGTAGTTATGATCATTCTAAGGAACATATTTAGAAGGTTATTTGTCTAAGAATCAGATTCAGATTCTCCAAAATTAATAGTATCTTTTTTTTTTTTTAGTATTTTCAAAATAAAATCTAAACACAAGCCTAGAATCAAAAGATAGTAAGATCTCCATTTAGTCCTAGGTATTTAAATATTTCTATCTGGAATTAAGAATGAAACTCTCCATCTCCATTTCAACTAGACTTCAAGAATATTGAAAGATTCCCCCTGCTATCGTCTCCCAGTTTAGTTCATCTTTCAGGCTGCTTCCATTCATTCCCAAAGCTAATGATGATTGCTCCTATTCCATGTTGCAGAGGCTGGGGCAGGACAGGGTTGGGGAAGAAGTGGAGAAGGTGGCTGGATGGAGCATGATATATCCAGAATGAGGCAGTCATTTGAATCCTAATGGAGCCCATAAGGTCAAGAGGGAAATGCACACATTAATTAAAAAAAAAACAAAACAACAACACCAAGTCACATGACAAGGATGTGTAGCATGGTGAGTTACAGAGGATATAGCATTTAAACAGAGAATGAAGGATGGATAAGAATTTGACTGCAGGGAAAGGGAAGAGAAATTTCAGAAGGTGGTAACTGAATATACAAAATGTAAGGTAAGTCAGAGCTGGGCACTCTGTGAATAAGAATTGTGTCAAACACTTCTTGAACACCTATCTTATACTGGGCACTGTGCTGAGCAATGGAAATGGGGGGGGGTGCTTTTCTGTGACTGATGATGGGGATCAGGGATGATGGAGACAGGAATGGCACAATAAGGGTAGGGCCAGGGTGGGAATCTGAATGTTCTGCTAAGGCGTCAGACCTTATTTTCTAGAATGAAGGTTCTCAAACTCTGGTGGTTCATCAGAGCTTGTTAGACATACCCAAGCATGGCCCTAGTCCCAGAGACTCATAATTAGCAGGTCCAGGTTATGGCCTAGGGTCCTGCATTTTAAGTAAGCTTTCCTAAGGTGATTCCCGAGGCCAGTAATCTCCAAAATAAAACTGGGTACACCTCATCTTTAAAATATTTTGAATATTTTAATATATAATGTTACTCATATGTATTATGTGACAATAATAAATACCCATCCCCTAACATAATTATTTCTGTGTAACATTTGCAATATATATAAAACCTATATAAATATAGAAATTAAAAATATGAAAAGTTCAATTTGTTTCAAAAAGGGAGGTTGTTACTCAGTGACATAAACCCCAGATGAGGAAGTATGCTGTTGGCTATGCTCATGAAATCACAATGTCCATTGTATGATGCCCTTTACCTAGTTCTGGGGTTTTTTGTTAGAACAAAGCTACTGAGTTCCATTTTCCCCAGTGTCAATCACTCACTTATGCAAATCAATCAGAATAGGTTGCATTTTTATATTTTTAATAAGTGGGTTTCAAATACAGGATTGCTTCATTTAGATGATGTTTAACACAGAAAAACTGTTTCTAAGTTTCAAAGGTATGCTGACAACCTTGTTTTATTTTATTATTTTTTAAACTTTGAAGATCTAATTGGCTTTATTAAGTGATTCATAAATTGGGCAGTATCCCATCTGGCAAGTAGAGGGGAGCTCTGAGGAGTGAGTGGTACAAATTGGAAGGTTGTCATAGGAAGGAAGGTGGGGTGAGAAAGTTATTTGCAAAAGAAAGGACAGGTTCAGGCAAGGTCACCTTCCTTGTGGGGAAGGGCAGGAGGTCTTATTAGGGGATTACCTCATCTTTTGGGAGATGGAGGGCCCATGAGACAAATGACCTCATTGGTGCTGATCAGAAAATTTCCTTCTGACAGGTTAAGACTAATTTCTGGGGGAAGCTGAAATTGCAATTAGTTAGGTGTTAAGCCCCAGCTTGGTGACTTGGTCTAAGTGATGCCTTTGGGGCCTATGGTTTTCAACAATTCTACTTCCCCCACCTTCTGAGCAGATTCACAGCTTAAAGGACAGATGTAATCAAAATTTAAGGCAAGAGAATATTGTTTTAGTAGGCAGTATCATTATTGGCAACACTGTGACAATGGAAACATTTCCAAATAAGTGCTTTTAAAATGCTCTCTTCACACCATTAATCTCTTTCAAATACCAATTAGATTCTCACGCATTTCACAATTTCTTAAAGGAGAGGTTATGTGTATTTATTCTTTTGAAAGCACCCAGAGGCTTACCACTGACGGCCACTTGCCATCACAGACAGGTCATAAATTTGGAACACATTCTTTTGAAAAAACAAGAAGTGCATATTCCAGGTATTTTTCCATGTGATAACCAGGGTGTCTTACGGAGATCAAAGATTTTCATGGTCATTCTCTTTTTCTGAAGTATCATAAGATTCCACTGTATTTTAGGTGTCTTGTATTTATAACATGAATCTCAATGATAATCTCCCATACAGCACATTGTGTAAATCGGCCTGGGACTCCTTTGCTACAGTAACTTGCCTCCTTGCCTATACTAACTTACCTGTGAATGAAGCAATGAATGAATTTTATGTGTGGCTTGTCTCCCTGTAATCCTCTAGTGGAGCCGTTTTATTTACTCCAAAGTAATCTCTCCAACAGTGGTCACACCTTACTTTTTATTTTTTTTTAATTTATTTATGATAGTCACAGAGAGAGAGAGAGAGAGAGAGAGGCAGAGACACAGGCAGAGGGAGAAGCAGGCTCCATGCACTGGGAGCCCGACGTGGGATTCGATCCCGGGTCTCCAGGATCGGTGGTCACACCTTACAGTTTGGACATAAATCATTCTTTTCATGAAGTATGTAATTTGGTAGTAGGATTGTATCTTGTCTGGTTTATATTTATGGGTTTGCATAATGTAGACTCTTGAAAGGCTGGTTGGGCAGAAAGTTCTAGATTGTGATTTTCTCTTCATACTTTCAAGAGATTTCCTAGCCAACAAGAACTCTGCTCCCACTTAACTGCTTTTCCTTGCTAGGAAATCTGTCTTTTTTCTCTGATCTAAAGGCTTTCTCTGATCAATGGTTGGCCTTAGTAAGATGTTCATTTATGGTGGTTTATTTTGCTTGGGATTTACATTTCCTGAGTTTAAGGATTTTTGTCTCCAACAATTATGGAATATTCTTAAGTTTTCTTTTTTGATTACTTGCCTGTCTTCCATGTTTCTCTCTAGAACTCCTAGTAGATGTACATTGAAACTTTTCATCCTACCTATAGCATTTTCCATTTCTACCTTTTTGTGTTCTTTATTCAACTGAGTTTTTATTTTTATTACTTATTTTAATTTTTTTTTAAGAGAGAGTGCATACTTGTGTGAGTGAGAGGAGGGGTAGAAGGAGAGGGAGAGAGAATCTTAAGCAGGCTCCATGCTCAATGTTGAGCCTGAGGTGGGGCTCGCTCTCACAAACCTGAGATTATGACCTGAGCTGAAATCAGGAGTTGGATGCTTAACCCACTGAGGCACTCAGGTGCCCCTTAACTGTGTTTTTCAACTTGACAATCAGTGCACTTATTTAATTTTGAATTTCTACAACTAAGTTTTTAATTTCCAGAGTTTCTATTTGGTTCCTTTTTAATATTGCCTCTTTTCTTTCATGATGATTTTTATCTTTTAATTTCCTTAAGGATTCTTTTTTAAAAAATATTTATTTAAATTCAATTTGCCAACATATAGTCTAACACCAGTGCTCATCTTAGTGCCCATCACCCTCCTTAAGGATTCTAAACACTGGGCAGCCCTGGTGGCTTAGCGGTTTAGTGCCGCCTTTGGCCCAGGGCATGATCCTGGAGACCCGGGATCAAGTCCCGCGTTGGGCTCCCTGCATGGAGCCTGTTCCTCTCTCTGCCTGTGTCTCTATGCCTCTCTCTGTCTCTCTCTCTCATGAATAAATAAATAAAATCTTAAAAAAAAAGGGTTCTAAACACTCATGGCTTTTTCAGATTGTTCTATTACCTAGAATTACTGAAACTACTAATCTTCTTGTTTGTTGGGTCTTCTGTCTTTCTTTTATGGTGGTTCATGAACTCCCATGGTTGGTAGTTTTTACTGTGAGCTCATTTTTTAGGGGGTTATTGTTTTCTCTGGAAGACCCATAGATGCTAGATTGTGAGTACTTCCCTCCAAGTATTTTTGTAATTACATTTGGTAGGGCTTCACAGGTTTTGTGGTCCTGGGCCAGTTTCTATTTTATTTTTTTCAGAATTCACTTATCATACAAGACATTTAAATTTAGATCTACATTCACATGTGGCACAGGACTTGGCTCCAATTTCTCCAGAGAGACTTTTCATTTCCCCACATAGAATCCCATGCAAGGATGAACTTCCTTACGGCTTCCTGTGGCAGTTGGACAGTTTTTCTACTCCCTGTTAAACAGAGAAGGCGTCCCTTGCAAGTTCCTGCCTTGAGGCATGGGCCTCAGTCCTGTGTCACAACCTTACAATAGGCCTGAAGCTTCATCTCCTAGCTCTCACAGGGATTAAAATCCCAGTCCCAAACCATGAGAATCTACATTGTGGCCCAAATCCTTCTGTGGGTTGGAGGCTTCATTTGTAGATTTAGATTCCCTCTGTATTTCCTGCAAGCTGGACTTTCCCAGTCTCACTTTAACACTGGTCTCTATTTTTACTTTATCTAGCTCTCAGACATATTTATAGCAAGACCGAAGTTTGCCTTAGATCAGATGCATTTAGATCAGATGCTGGAAACCAGAGTCCATTGTTTATATTGTGAGTTCAATAGATTTTGTTTAGAAAAAAAGAGCTTCACTGTTAAAAACAGAAAAATCCATTTAAAACCACAGGACTAGCTCAATGCTTTTCTACTGGTAAGAAAAGGAAGCCCAAGGAAATGGAAATGAAGAGTTTTTAAGGGTCACAAATGCTGAGGAGAAGGAGTAGAGCTCTAGTCTCCTTTCTCCTTCCCCCCCTTCCTGTCTCCTTTCTTCTTTAGTTCTTCCCTCCTTCTCTTCCTCCTTCATTTCTTTCTTCCATGAACTATATTATCTATTAAAGTCAACATCTTCAGACCTTTGGCAGATATAGCGACCACTGTGAAACATGAGGACAATTCTGTGGGTTTCAGCAAAGCAATCGCACCAGAGCAAAGGGGATGTAGGGCTTAACCCCAGAATGTCATCTCCTTCACTGAAAACATCTATATAAAGGGAACAGTCATTATTTGGTTTGTGAAGAGCCAGATTTCCTCTAGGCAGAGAATATGGCAACTTATTCTCTTCATCGAATGATTACTAGGGCACCTGAGTGGCTTAGTGGTTGAGTGTCTGCCTTTGGCTCAGGGTATGATCCTGGGGGATGGGGATTGAGTCCCACATCGGGCTCCCCACGGGGAGCCTGATTCTCCCCCTGCCTGTGTCTCTGCTCCTCTCTCTGTGTTTCTCATGAATAATAAATAAAATGTTTTAAAAAAGACTGATTACTAAAAAATTATAAGGACATATTTGTGCATTCAAATTATTACCTTTTTTCTGTAGCTCTGATGATAACAGTATGTATGGTTGCAGCCATTTATGCCACAAAAGCTAAATTAAGGATCCTATTGTATGAGACCACATTAAAAAAAAAAAAAAAAGCAATCTGTAGTAACCCAGGGACAAAAATTGTTACTTTTGGATGCTTGTTTCTCATTTATACTTTATTTACTGTTCACTCTTTCTAAGTCTTTCTTTGCATCATGTGTTATCAACAACAACTTGTGTTTCTTTTCAAGCCAACTGGCCTACTGAAGTGTCTGTTTGTTAAGAAAAGTCAACGAACCATAAAGTGACCTGAGTAGCTGATAGAACTTCAAACGAGCCTTATTCTTTCATCTTAACACACCCTGGCACCATCACAAATGTGGCAGTCTTTTCTTTCCAAGAAATAAAAAACTCTTCAGCCTTTTTAGTAGTTTCAGTTTGATCTGATGTGACTGGGGTATTTATCAGAAACATTTTAACAGGCAAAGGTAGATAAACCGAGTTGACTGCTCTGTATAAGCCCAGCACCAAAGTTCTAGAGACAACTGATTTTTAAACCATGGAAGAACCTTCACAAGGTGTCAAATCTTAAGCCTCACGGATGACTAGTCTGGTCTAGCCTATATGTTCACTAAATGCTGACACCAGCCATGTTTACACCACTATTTATTGAGCACCACTGTTTACTATGAACCAGGTACCATGCTCAGTGCTTCATATATGTTATTTTATTCAATCCCCCAATAAACCAAAGAGCAGGTATATCCCCCATTTTATAGTTCAAGAAACTGAGACTCAGGCACATGACAATGCCCAAGGTAACTTAGCTAGTTAGCATGTGTTGTCAAGCTAGGATTCAGCCCATTGTCTGTCTGATGCGAAAGACATCATGCTTGTTTACCTTACCTTTGAACCAGGAAGCTGTCTAGTGCAGGTTCAATTTAAATTCCTGGACTCTACCTGCAAGGCTTTGTTAAGAATAATTCCCTTCCCCTTTAAGGGTGACTTACCTAAATAACTTGAGATTATCTGCAAGTTTAGGGATATCAGTAATGTCCTCCTAAGGAGAAATAGATAACATTTCATAAGCAGTTAATTAGGTGGTGTTGAGACGCTATACCTGCACTGTCCAATACTGCAGCCAGTCGCGACATGGAGTTATTAAAATCTGAATTAATTAAAATGAAATTAAATGAAAAACTCAGTTCCTCAGTTACACTAGCCAGATTTCCAGTAGTTGCCCCAGCAGGTGGTGAGTGGGCAGGAGTGAGATGGGGCACACACAGGGCTTTCTGGGGGACTCGCAGAGTTCTCATTCTTGATTCGGGTGGTGATTTGGGTGATAATACACATTTGTTAACCTGTACATTTTTGTTTTATTTTTTTTCCTGCTTTTCTGTATGTGTCATGTGTCATACCAATGAAAAAAGAGATGAAAAAAAGTGACCAGGCACTACCATTCAAGTTAAAAAGTTGAGTTAGAAAAACTACTTTTATGTACAAAGTATTTTACAAATTTTGCCTCAGAGCCAGTAAATCTAGCTACATCTAGTTCACTGATTAACTTCTCAAAAGGAACTTGGCTCAAAGTTCATTCTGCAGTGTAGGTTGGCGCCTACTTTCTAAATGAAAAGCCTATTGTTTAGCATCACATGAAAAATTTGAAGGAGGGGGGAGATAATTTTTTTCATTTATTCTGAGAATATGTATATTCTCAGAGTATATAAATAGTATATCTAGTTAGTGGAGGAAGTCAACAAAAGAAACTCCAATTTCATGGGGCCTGTGTCTCCTATAAATGTGAGACAGGCTCTGAATTGCTATAGAATCTTGGCATTTAGTTTGTATGAAGTATTTGCTTTTGCATAACACCAACTTCCCATTTTAAGGAAATGAATCATAAGGAAGCAGACATTAAATACATAGAATATAGTGATTCATTTTTTTCTCTTATTTATATCTAATTATAATAGATCCACCTATCTAATTCAATGTGGATTAAACTAACAATGACTCCCACGAATCCCAAACAAAAGTATGGCACTCAACAGATGACTCAAACAAGAGAGGCATTCCGATTATAAAGCCACCCTTTGGCCACATTTCATGGATAAGGAGATGATAAAATAGTTGTATTATTTTTGTATAACTGGAAAGTTTTTGTCTATTTCCTGAAGTCAAAAAGGTGTCCCAGAATAAAGGCCCCCACTGTGTCAACCTTGCCCAGTTGTGGGGCATGACTAGGTCAATAGAGAATAGGCTTTATATCTGTGAAGCATCTTCTCCAATTCTCATAGCCAGCCATACAATAGACTGGGTGGTTCTCTTGATCTGAGTGAAGGGACAACTTCCAGAATCCCTATGAGTGAAAAAAAAGCCTTTGGTGGTGGTAGTCTTTCCCTCATATGCCACAGCTTATCCCTAAGAAATACATACAAAGATACTGTCATTAATAGCACTGAACATATCTCACAATCCCTTCCAGAACTGACCTGAGAAAAGCCAGTCAGTTCTTGTTAGCTTTAAGCTTGTGACAAGTATGTTTTCTTTTTTCAAAATCAGGTCAAATATTCTCTTATTTATGATAAAAAAGAGCTCATTTACATTTGTCAGAGTCCATCAGAACACAGTCACAGTTCTGAGTTACCAGAGAAGTTCATACCAAAGTGTTGTCCGTTTTTCCACCTTCTAGGGTCACTTCCAAATTAGAGAGTGCTGCTTCTACTTCATCCACCTCAGACTCATTTGTAAAATCCTGTGTTTCAGCTGACAAGGACAGTTTGCTAATGTGATACTACAATGTAAACAGAGGTTGTGGAAATGTTATAAACACAAACGCATCCATTAGCCCTTTCCTCTTTTTGCAGACAACTCCCCTGTAGTTCCAAACACCTCCTGGAAAGAGATTTCCCTCCTATGAAGGGGAAATGACATTTTAATCTGAATTATTTTGAGATCTATGGTTAGCCAATGTTCCAACTTGATTCTTCTCCATCACTGGTTGAACTGGTAGGGGGGGATGACATAAGAATCACAAGACCAATGCCTTATATAAGAAGGGCACCTGTGTAGGTTATGAAGAATATTTTAAATTTAAATTGGCGTCCTTCACAGTTCTTTCCTTGGAGAAAACAAAAACAGTATGAAGAAAATGAAACTTTCAGAAAACAAATTTGCTTTGTTTTCTTCCAGAGAAAGGGTACTGAAATTTCTATACCTGCAGTGCTGCAAAGATCAACATTTCTTCTTCCGTACAGTCAATTTCTTCTAAGAGAATGGCCCACCTGGCTTGTTCATAGAGTTGGTTTATTCGGACAGCGTCGTACTAAAGAAAGAAACAGGTAGATAGATGTGTTTTGGTTGGGGGGGGCACATATTTATATTTCTCAGTACAAAAACTCTGCAATAACTGAAGCCATTCCTTGTTAATCAGATGCAAGAAACTTTGCTCAGGTAAGTGAAAGAAACACCTATCTTTCCACTGCCCCAGCTCATTTTGCTTCTGAACTTGGAACTTCTGTTGTCAAAATATTTTCCAGAGCCTCGTCAAGAGGCCAAACAGATTCCATTGTTTCTTCCTCTCTTTTATCAAACTTCCATTGGTAGGAAAAAACCATTGTCCCCACCTATCTACAGGACTCTCTTCAGTTCAGTTTCTTGTGAAACTGTAACTCTGTACCCATTAAACCATAACTCCTATTTTTTTCCTCCCATGGGTACACAATTTACTATATCCTTAGGAAAAAAAGAAAATGACTGTGAGGGAAATATGGAGGAGGAATAGAAAAATAGATTGTCTAAACAGATTTATCACGGGTTGGTTAGCATTAGTTTATTTTTCCTTTTGCACTAACCTTATACACACTAGAAAAAAGGTGAGATAAGGGGTATAAAGATCCACAGCAAGCCCAACCCAGCAAATAACACTGCTACAAGGTGCAGGGGGAAATGGAACCTTTCATGGAGGCATGTTCCCTCTCAGCAGTGCTCAGGACACGGTCAAGGCAAGACAAATGCAAACTGAAATGTGCGGCAGGCTGGGAGCTGTAAGGCTAAGGGCCTTAAGAAAGTCTGTCTTTGCTTTGGGAACTTTGCCAGGTGGCATGGCACCCCTCAGGAGCTAGCCCCACTAGCCTCCCCAGACAAACCCAAGCAGAACACGCGTGCGAATATTCACAACAGCATTGTTCATGACAACTCCAAACTGCAAACATTCCGGTGTCCCTTGACTGGTGACCGGATAAATGGGGCTCATGCACAAGAGGATGTGGTGCAGCAGTAAGAAGGAGCGAGCTCCTGGGGCACTTGAGAGCACAGGGGGGCCTCAGATACCTGCCCAGTGAAAGATCCAGATGTGCAAGCTTACACACTGTATGATTTCACCTATGTGAAACTTCCAGAAAAGGTAGGGCTGGAGACAGAAAGCAGAGACCAGTGGTGGGCTAAGGCTGGGGGCAAGGATTGACCACGGATGGGGTACGAGGAAACTTTTGGGATGCAAGTGTTTCACAGTTGGACTGTTGCACAACCATATGAATGTACTACAACCATTACATTAGAATTTTATAGCATGTAAATGACATGGCAATCAAGATGCAACAACTAAAAAAATTTACACCATACACACCAAAACCCACAATGCCTGCCCCCCACAAAAGACCTCTGCTTCACAAACAGTTTAAACACAACACCTAGGGGCACCTGGGTGGCTCAGTCAGTTAAGTGTCTGTCTTCGGCTCAGGTCGCAGTCCTAGGGTCCTGGGATCAAGTTCTGCATCAGGCTCCCTGCTTAGTGGGGAGCCTGCTTCTCCCTCTGCTCCTCACCCTGCTCATGCTCTCTTTCTCTAAAATAAATAAATAAACTCTTAAAAAAAGGACAAAATCTAAATAGTGTGTGTGCTGCCAGTAAAATCTGAATTGGCCTATAATGTCTGTCTGTCTGTCCACCAGTGAGTCTATAATCCTCATTCTGTAGGAGTTTTAGTGAGAGTAAGTTAAATCACTCGATAAGGCTCTTCTCTCAAAGGTACTCAGTAAAGATCTACAAAAAGTAATCGCTTCCACACCTGAACAAACCTAACTCCCCTGCCACCCCCCCCCAAAGCCAAATAAAACAATTCCTTGAGAGAATACTGGTTAAACAAAAGTTACTTACATTTACAAATTGACACTGGGAGAACAGGATCTAGTACAAGGTGTTATAAAGGACAGGATAAACCCGGGCTCTCATGGAGGAACACTGGCTTTCTCTGGGGCAGCCAGCGGAGCTCTGCAATTTCTTCTTTGGGGCCTTCTTCACGTTCCCCCTGAGACTCTAGAACATCACGAGGTCCTAGGTTTTCAGGGGTCACTTATTAACAGGCATTCTGATAGGTTTTTTTTCTTTCTGAAGACTCTGTCAATGGTTTCCCCAACTTAGAAACAAATTTTTCCCTTGGTGGGGATTGGCTCCTCTTCCCCTTCCTTAGCCCTAGATTTCTTTTGTCATCTGGTTTACTGAAAATAGAAATCCCAGACTGGAAGCACATGGTTTTTGCCACCTCTACTGCCTGAATCCCTGTTTCTCCTCATCCAGCCAATTCAGTAAACCCCTCTCTCCTTCCATCAACCACCAATACGAACAAATAACAAGACCTGCTTCCTATAACTCTCAGTAAAGAGTTATTTAGATCTAATCATGGAGGATTCCCTATTAGCTGGGAGGAAGCTAATTCAGTATTATATATAAATACATATAAATATAAATATATATGTAAATATATATAAATCCAGTATTCTCTAGGACTCTTATTAAAACCAATGTGCCTGGGGCACCTTGGTGGCTCAGTGGTTGAACATTTTGTTTTTTTACTCTTATAATTTTTAAAATTATGTAGTCCCCCCAAATACAGGAGGTAAGTGTTAGTATCCCCTTTTTACAGTTTTGTAAAGGTGTGTTAGGCAAATTCAGAGAGGTTAAGGAGCTATGGATGATCTCTTAGGGAATAAGAGATGGGTTTGAAATTAAAGTGACATTGAATCAAACCCAAGACTTTGCTCTTTGGCTTCAGTTGTGATCCCAATGTCCCTGGAATTGAGTCCCTCTGCCTGTGTCTCTGCTTCTCTGTGTCTCTCATGAATACATTTTTTAAACATCTTAAAAAAAAACCCAACAAACTGATGTACCTTTTCTCTATTGAACTTTTAAAAAATACTATGAATTATTGGAGTTATAAAATTTTTTATTCACATATTTAAATAACAGATAATAGATACTGAAGGAATTAATTTTTTTTGAAGGAATTAATTTTGAATGAATTCTAAAGAGTCAGAAGAACGTATAATAAAAAGTCTCCTTCTCTTCCTTGTTCCTTACAAATGCTGGTTTCTCTATGGACTGTTTTGTACCTTGTTCTTTTTTCATTTGATAAAACACCTTGAATTTGTTCTACATCAAAAGAAAGTTGATTCATTCTTCTTAGCAACAACACTATATATATATCATAATGTATATAATCACTTCCCTATTGATGGATGTTTAGGGAAGGGAGTTTCCAATTTTCTTCTTCAAATAATGTAGCAATAACTGTTCCTGGGTACAGACATATTGATCCACATATATGAATGTAACTGTGGTATAAGTACCAAGGATTTGCTATGTCAAAGCTATGTAGAATTATAATTCTGATAGATATTGCCAAATTGCCTCCCATAAGGATCAGATTAATTTGCACTGTGATCAATAAGCAGGGTATGAGAGCCATTTTCTCCACACTCTTGCTAAGATAGTGTGTGAAGCTTTTTGATCTTTACCAATATAAGGCTAAAAGCCATCCTAGTTCCTTTTCTCTTAACTATGTGTTCATATTCTTTGCTCATTAGGCTACTGGGTTGTTGGTCTTATTATTGATTTCTGGGAGCTCTTTATTAGGAATATTAGCCTTTTGTTTATAGTATGTGTTGCAAAGACTTTTTCACTTTGTATATAGTTTTTGGGTGTGGATAAAATTTTGATTTATGAAAAAGTACCAATCTTTTATGGATTCTGGGTTTTGTATTTTTAAAATATATTATTTTTGAAATTTTGTATATTCTAGTATTTTGTATATCTGAGATTTTAATCAGTACCTGCAACCCTGGTGCTACAGCCTCCCTGCATCTCTCTTCTGAAAGCTGGAGAAGCTCCCTGATTCTACTATCCACTTTGGTTCCCATTTGTAGCATGTCTTGTCTGTTTTACAGTGGCATTATGGGTGCTATCTTTGCTCTTCTTGATTTGATTGTAGATTCTATGAAAACATGAATTGCATCTTAAGTTTCTGTATTCCTCTATCTACTCAGCACCTCGTAGAAACTTGGAACTAAACTTGGTTATATTTATAGCATTCCATACTCTAGAAGAGAGGGGATGGGAACTCTAAAGTGGTTGGGGATCACTGTTCCTGTGCCCCAAAGCCATATCCCCAAAGCCTGAGTCTTCCTGTTACTTTTGGGTTGACAGCTTCTATTTGGCTATTAGATTCAAATAGGTTTTGTTTGTGAGCCATGGGGAGAGAACTCCTTACCAATTGAGAAAACATGATCATTCATGGCACCCTTGAAAAAAATTAAAACAAAACCCCCCTCCATTTTAAGAGAAGCTGTAGTTTCTCCTGAAGGTTTTATCGAGGAGCCAAAATTTGCTCTTTTGCCATGATTTGGTGAAAGTTACATGCTCCAGACACAAGCTAGGTCCATGGGTATTAAGGTAGATCTAAACCAAAGACTGGGAAGGAGCTGCACAGAAGTGACAAGGAATAAGGCTTATTTTGAAGAAGAAGCCAGTTGAGGAAGCAGTGCAACTTGAGATGTACCTTTGAAGACCAGATTTAAAAATCAGGGTCAAGGAGAAGACAGTGCCATGAGAGACAGAATCACTGTTGTGGATGAAAAAGGAGTCTACACAGAAGAGGTGGCCTGAGGCAGGCTCCTCAAACAAGTGCCTGGCAATGAATGGAAAAGAGCAACAAGCATATGGAACTGGGATAAAATCACCCTGTGCACTCGGAGGGCCTGTGGCTCAGTTTATATTCTCTGTTATTTGGCCAGCTGAGTGCTGACTCACAACTCCACAAACTGGGCCAAACCCAAACAGGGGCAAGGAAGGGGCAGAAATTCAGAGGATTTATTTCACCACTCAGTTGTCCCAGTACACTTCAGGTGGCAGATGTGTACTTAATGAGAATTGATAATCAGCTGGGGTCCTTATATATTATTTATTTATTTATTTATTCATTCATTCATTCATTCATTCATTCATTCATTCAGATGGTGCCTCTTTCTCATCTCCAAATCAGCCCTGTGATGGGGAGTGTGGTATGCACCATCATGGGGTCCTGGCTTATTCACAGAAACCTGCTCTTAACCCTGGCTCTGATGCTCCTTCCTCCCTAAGCATTAAGGATTCCAGCTCTCTGAGCCACTCTCCTCTTGTGACTTCATTCACGTGGGCGGCACAAACCATGCTGGGCAGCTGACCATGCTTGTTAGAAACTAAAAGATGAAAATCTAAAGACAGTTTACATTCATTGGTCTAACCTTGCAGAGTTACACAAAAGATTACACAGATTAACCCTAATTCTGATAACTAAATGACTCAATTTTACACTTCCAGGCCTTGACATTGAAAAAAGGAGAGAGAGAAGAGAGCAAGGATCTTACTTTGGGATTCAAGTCAAAGAAAGTGTAGTATTTAAATCGTAACAGCAGCTGCTCATCCTCCTGGATGCCTTGTTCCATAAGTGAACGTGAAGAGTCCAGCCAACTAGAAAATAATAGGATGACTTTTAAAAGTCAATCGATTTTACACACGTTATAGTATTACCTAATATGTTTATATACATACTTATATACATATATACATTTATACACACACATATGTAAATGTAAGTGTGTGTATATTTCTTTAAACAAAGCCCGAGTAATATACCCAAAAACCTGTAAGGGGGAGGACTTGATAATAGCTTATATTTGCATTTTATATTATAATTTTTATAACGTTCCAAGTGCTTTTTCTATATATATTTTGTTTACATTGATTCTTTAACCCAGTTAAGACGCCAATGCAGTTGGCATTTTCTCAGTTTATGGGTGAGAACATGGAGTCTTAGTGACATTAAGTGCTGTGTGCAAGGTCATGGGCCTTGTCACGGAACCAGAATGAAAATCTGTACTTGTTGACTTCCTGCACTGCCTCTTGTCTACACCAGCTGGTCTGACTCAATGCTGTGTCTATCTTACTGGCTAGAACTTTCTGCAACAATGGAAATATTCTATATTGCCTAGTCCGACAGAGTACTCACAGTCACACATGGCTACCGAAGATTTAAATGCGGCTGGTGCCACACTTTAATTTTAATTAAATTCAAATGTATATGTAAATATCCACCTGTGGCTAGTGGCTCCTGTACTGGATAGTACAGTTCTAGAGTTGAGAAATAAATACTGCATAGCGGGGAGGGAGTGGGAGAGGTGGGGAATAAGAGTGAACAACAGAATGAGGTGGGGATGAATGCCATCCAGTCCCATGGAGAAGATGGCCTGAATGTCTCTTCTGTCAGGCCTTGGGGGGAAATAAGGATGACTGAGATACAATCTCTGTCCTAAAGGAATGGACAGTCCTGTGAGGGGATGGTGAGCCTCATAGTAAAGGAACATGGTGTGGGAGCAAGTAGAGTGTCACAACAACTACAGGGAAGTGAGTCCTCTAGAATCCTGTTATCTGAGAAGGAGACGGTATGCAACTGGGTCCTACAGGACAAGCAGGGGCCACCTTGAGCAGGATGAAAGGAGGAGAGGCCTGGAGTAGAGCAAAGGTAGTGACAGAAGAGTGTGTGTGCACCAAGGGGGGATGGGGTATGTGAGCACACAGGACGGGGACATCTGCTGGGCCAGCTCTCACAGGGAGTGGAATGCTATGAACAAACGACTTTATTTGATGAAGAGGGGAGTGAAAGAAATGGTGGTTTGAGAAGTGGTCTGGGTATATTTTCTAAGATGACTTCAGAGCTGAAGGACTCATTAAAACACTTAAAGGGACATGTGATGTCCCCTTGGGGGATGTTGGCCCGGTGAGCCACCGTGGATCTCCCCGCTGCCACTTATAACTGATCTCCATCCCACCAAATGCACTTTGCACATAGATAGGGACAAAGAATTTGTATTCACATACGACAATCCATTGAGTTACCTGAACACAAATGTTGTCACACCTTAAATGTATGGCAATGACCAAAGGTGGCAGTTTCCCCTTCTATGGCTAAAAGCGGCATTGACTTTTGCTAATCGTGTACAATCCCCAGGCATGCTAACTTAAAAATTAAATAACCCCCTCGCCCCCACTTCTGTGGCATCTTCTTACTGTATCAACATCACTTCACAGATGCTGTGAACACAGAGAAGCAAAGCGGAGCCCCGTCCTTACCCTGCGTTAAGCTTGGCTTTGTCAACCAGTGACCGAGGCTGGTACATATCAGCCAGCGCTTCTGGTGACTGCGGGGGTTGGCTGAATGCCAGGATGCTGCAGTTCTGTTCTGTCAAAGGGCTGTCACTGAACCAAGTCATGGTGGATGATGCTGGCGTTCCACTGATGGGGTCATATGTGGGAGTCATGGTTTTACTGTATAAGCCAGGACTTACTGCAAAGGCGAAGGGAAGCATACACAATGAGATGAGGTTCAGGGGGAGGAATCTTTGGAAAAATAAGGACTAACATTGCTTATACTACAATGGATTTTGAATTTGAATTTGTGTACCATTTAAACTAAGGAGATGAGTTATGGCTGATGGGAGAGGACTCATGGAAGGGCAGAGAACTTACAGGCTGTAAAAGCTTATAAAAACCAACCCAGACAAATGTTGGGGACCATCTCCTTGTCAATAATTCAAAAATTTGGGATGCCTGGGTGGCTCAGCAGTTGAGTGTCTGCCTTTGGCTCAGGTCGTGATCCCTCAGTTCCGGGATCAAGTCCCACGTCGGGCTCCCTGTGAGGAGCCTGCTCCTCCCTCTGCCTCTGTCTCTGCCTCTCTCATGAATAAATAAATAAAACCTTTAAAAAATAATTCCAAAATCTGTTTCAGCTGTGAGTTTTGGCACCATCAGAGAACAGAGGATCTCCCAAGAGTGTATGTACAGACTATATCTTTGGGCAAATCCTTTCAACAAATAACAGTACTTGCCAATTTTAAGAACCCAGATAGTTGGGAGTTTATACACCATGCAGTCTGTGTAAGGAAAATGGGAAAAGTGCCCTTTATTCTTTGCATTGGAATATACTATGCAAGAAGACTCTTGCTGCAAGCAAGCTAGAGATTGATTTGCTTTGGTATAAAAAGACAAGGATTATGTCTTTCCAGAATTTTTACCTGCCCTCTCATTACATCCCCAATGCAAAATAAAACTGAATTCAGGAAAGAGTCACCTGAAGATAGAATCAAGAAGAGAAAAGTATACTTGAGTGATCCAACTAATTTCTTTTCCTCCCAAATTCATAGCAAATTTCCCTAAAGTTTTGCATTCATCAGAATATAATATACAAGGTTAAAACAATGAGGTATACAGTCAGTAGAGTCTGTGACTCTTGATCTCAGGGTCATGAGTTCAAGCCCCACGCTGGGCATGGAGCCTACTTAAAAAAAATAATGAGCTACAAAACAAACCTAATTTAAAAAATTCTGTGAGTTCTAAAATTAATTGCATATCCTTTCTTCATCACAGAAATCCTGCAATTTTAGTCTTTCTTTGTTTGGGGGCATGGGGAGGGGAAGAAAAGGGAGATGAGGGAAAGAGGAATAGAGGGGAGGGAGATTTCTTGGGATTTAAAAAATCCTTGGATTCAAGAATGAAACACAACAATAAAACATCTGTCATGAATCATACCTGGTGGACCTGCAGTCGTTGGAGAACCCTCCAGGTTTAAAATATCTTCAATTATGGGCTCCTTGTTACTTTTGTCTTTTTTTTTCTTCTTTTTAAAATAGTCACCAGAAGGCTTTAACAAGGAAAGTTCTTCTGATCTTCTAATATCTAACAAACAAATAAATATAAAGAAGAATGAAAACCTATCAAAAAGTAAAAAGAGGGAGTGCCTGGCTAGCTCAGTTGGAGGGGCATGTGACTCTTGACCTCAGGGTTGTGAGTTTAAGTCCCACGTTGGGCAAAGAGATTACTAAAAATAAATAAAACTTAAAAAAAAAAAGTAAAAAGTAAATCACATCTAAGACTCAAGAGTCATGCTAGGCATCTGAAATGATTGCTCAGGGAATTCCTGAGAAGTAAATGTTACTAGATTACATCCCTTTGGTAGAAATAGAAGGGGAGGGATGCCTGGGTGGCTCAGTGGTTGAGTGTCTGCCTTCGCCTCAGGTCATGATCCTGGGGTCCTGGGATCAAGTCCTGCATCAGACTCCCTGCAAGGAGTCTGCTTCTCTCTCTGCCCTATATCTCCGCCTCTGTCTCTGTTTCTCTCATGAATAAATAAAATTTAAAAATCTTAAAAAAAAAAAGAAATAGAAGAAAAATAAACATACCAGAGACTCCTAAAACAGTTGTGTGTGTGTGTGTGGGGGGGGGGCAGTGGGGGTGTCAAAGAGTGGAGAAAGCTTTAGTCCAATAAAATTTCTAGTTGTTTTTTTAATTTATCATGAAAATATTTCAAAGATACCCAAAGCAAAGAGAATGGCCCCCTCATGTTTTCATCACCCAGCTTCAACAACCACCAGTACTTGCTGTTCCTAGTCATCTACTTACTACCAATTTTTCTCTCTTTTTCTTTTTTAGTTTTTTTAAATAACAATGAAGAACCCCACCTTTTTCTTTATAGATCATAGTTCCTGAGACCTGTCTCTTATACTGTGCCCAATTGCTAATTTCATCCCTGTGGCAGACAGCACTGGTGCCCTGCCCATCTCTTCTTGGCCGTGTCACTTCAGTGTACCCTGATCTGACTTCTAGTGGCAGCTAGGACAAGTGTCTTTCTGCCCGAGGGCTTGCTCTGGATGCCACAGTCTGCACTACCCAAATGTTCATGTAACAGGCCAAATAAGTTCAGAGAATTAACATTTCCCAAGAGCAGCCCTCCATGACTGACAAGACTCCTGCTCCCTCACCCCCTGGCAGGGAGAGCTCTGAAGCATGTTTACATCATCTCCCAGAAGCCCCCGATGCCCCAAATGCAACTGGATTGGTGATACTCTCTTATTGGTGGCCTTGTCTTTCCAGTCTTACTTCCTCATCCCCAACCAGTGTTTTCTGGAATCACCTCCACACCCCAAAATAAATGTTTGTACTTGAATTCTTTTTTTTTAAGATTTTATTTATTCATGAGAGACACACAGAAAGGGGCAGAGACACAGGCAGAGGGAGAAGCAGGCTCCCTGCGGGGACCCTGATGCGGGACTCAATCCCAGGACCCTGGGATCATGCCCTGAGCCAAACCAAAGGCAGACACTCAACCACTGAGCCACTGGGTGTCCCTGTGCTTGAATTCTTGTCTCAGGGCCTGCCTCTGGAGCAATCAAACCCAAGATAATTCCCATTTTTCCCATTCTTCAGTATATGTTTATAACTGCCATTGCCAATCAGAATTCCTGGTAACCATTAACCACACTGGGCTGCTTTATGATTCCAAGTAAAAGCCAAGGAAATGTGGATGTTAGTCTGAAAGCAGCTTCCCTGGAGGCAAATGTATTGATTCCATAGGTGCTGCCATTTTTCAGTTTAAACACTGCTTAGTGCTGAGGCTGAGGCTAGCAGTTTAGCTCCATCCTCTTCCCTTGTAACCAAGGATGCTCAATTGTCAGGCTGCAGTACACACCTGTGCCCATTCCAAATGCATAATTTATGTATGAGACCATGACATGAATCAGAATTTCCAGCAGGAGCATTAGAAACAAAACAACAAAACCACACTAAACCTGCATCTCCAAGCCCAAGATTTGTGTCTTGTCTTCTCTTTGTAAGAAAATCCATCATATTGCTAAATTTGATTTAGCTTCCGTTGAATTGATATATATAAAAAAAACAATGACTAGCAATGCCAGGTTGAGGGGCACTGGGGTGGTGAGCTCTGTAACGGCAGATTCCATTAGTTTGTTCATTTAACAACTAATGAGCAGTGAATGTGTGCCAGGCATTGTGTTAGGAACACGGGCATGCTCAATTAATGGTTTCTGCCTTCACCCTATTTCATGCCATCACAGTCTCCATTGCCCAACACTGGAACTCCTAATCCTGCGTATACTATTAGAGCTTTACTTTTTTTTTCTCTGTCAAATATCTCCTTTTAATATCTTATTTTTCTTACTTTTAAATTATTTTTACATTCATTCTTTATTTTCTGTCTCTGCATCCTAGAATGTAAGCTCAAGAAGGGAAGGGGTTTAGGACTATTTTTATTGCTAACCAATCCCTAGCACTTGCCACAATGCCTACCTAATCAATATATATTTGTTGAAAGAATGAATGAAGAGTTGTTTAGTGGGGAAGACAGATTACTCATTCGTATGTTGTAAATACTGTATTCAAATGCCAAATCTTTGTCTTAGAGCCAGAGAATGTGCCTACACACTCTCAAAGAATATAAAACAAGAAAACCTTCATGACACAGCGTTCACTTCCGTTATAGAGGTTCCCCAGATAAATGGTTTGGGCAGTGTTGTCCTTAATGATTGTTAAAACCGTAAGAATTAGTTTTCAATCCATAATTAAGTGTTCCTTCCTGCTTAAAATAAACTCCTCAAATAATTTTTGTGGATACAGTATTTACTGTAGTGAAGTGCTTGTAAAGCAATTAAGACATTGCAACACCATTATCTCAAAAACAATAAAGATACATCAGCTCTATGGTGATGACGATTTAATGGAACTTCTTATTTGTCTTAAATATAATGATATTAGTATGGCTTAGAGGAATGATTTTTTTGGGGGGAAGTCTTAATGGGTTTGTTTTTTCTGTCTACAGATCTGTTTTGAAATAGTGTTAAGCTGGGGCACCTGGGTGGCTCAGTGGTTGAGCACCTGCCTTTGGCTCAGGTCGTGATCCCGGGGTCCTGGGATGGAGCCCCGCATCCAGCTCTCCACAGGGAGCCTGCTTCTCCCTCTGCCTATGTCTCTGCCTCTCTGTGTGTCTCTCATGAATAAATAAATAAATAAGCTTAAAAAATAGTGTTAAGCTCTGGGGAAATAAATCTGATTTACTCCAATGATGTTCCATTTGTTTTAACTCTACTTACATGGCTGAAGTCCCCAGAACTGGGCTTGAAAAGTATGCTTCCTAGTAAGAGAAGTGTTCTGTAAAACCAACCGCTTGTAGGCAGAAAGCACATATAATTTTCCTGTCCTCCCTTACCAACAGTCCAAAGGGCATGGGGCCTCTCCAGGGTACTCACTCAGGATTTTGCAGATATCACTGACAGCTTTAAAAACCACAGCGGAGAAGCTGACTCGCAATCTCACTGTCTTCACATTCGGCAGGCGGAGGCGAAGTATTTTGTGCTGAGGGGTGAAGAGAAGCTTTGCATCTGCCTGGACTCCATATTTGTCCAGAGTCCAGTGCGTTTTCAGAAGCCAGCAATGTTTCTGTTCCCACCAAAGGGCAAAGTCTGACCAGTCTTGGGATATTTCTGCAAAAGTGGAAAATACGATGAAGTGAAACAAGAGAGAACCCTAGGGTCCATTCCATTGTGTGTGAGAGCTGAAACATACAAATGGTCTTCGGCTCCCTGTCTCCTTTGACAGTGGGCTCTCTAAGGTGGGGCAGGTAGAAAACAGAGACTGAACCTTCCTTATCATGACTGTATTTAAATACAGTGAAAGAAACAGACACAAACACATTTTGTTCTTGATAAAGTAGCCCGAGTTCTTTTCCCTAAGGCCCTTTAGCGCCATGGTCCTTTCTAGGAAAGCCAGGGGCATTTGACCTTAATCAAGATTATTTCTTCACTAGAAACAAATCTTTCCACGTTGGATCACAAAGGACTATCAGTAACTCCCAAGGTGTGCACAGAAGGACTTTAAAGTTGACACTTCCCCCTCTCTATAATGTCCAGCTCTTTTATCCCAGTACCACCAGACTCCCAGTTTCCAAAGTGTCTACACTGAGATAAGCTGAATATTTTCTCTCTCTCTTGATGTCAGCATCAACTCTTTTCTCTCCTTCAATGCTGACACTGAAGTTGAATCTTTTCCTTTTGTCAATGTTGGAACCAATATTCAATCTTTTATTTGTTTTGTAAAAAAAAAAAAAAAGTTTCTCTTTTTCTCACTTTATGTTAGAAAACCTTTCTTTCAATGCTGTTAGTAGAAGTATAAATGCTGTAACTATTTTAGAAAGTCCTATTATGCAGTCATTCCTCTCTGAGCTATACCCCAACAGCAATGCCTCTATATACTCACCAAAGACATGCAGTATAGCAGCCCTATCTGTAGGAGCCTGAAAATGGAAACAACCCAAATGCCCATCAATAGGTAAATGGGTAAATTGTGGCATAATCATATGATAGAATATCACACAGCAAATGAGAGTAAATGAGCCAAAACTATATGCAACAATATGGGTAAATCTCACAGACATAATGTTAAGTGAAAGAAAGCAGATGCATAAGAGTATATCCTACACGAGTCCACCTCTATCAGTTTAAAAACAAGTAAAATTATTCCTATGGTGTTAGAATTTAGGATAATGGTTTCCCTTGGTGGGACAGTGACTGGGAAGGGTCAGACATGATACTTGGGTGGGGGAGTCAGTAATATTCTATTTCTTTTCTTTCTTTTTTTTTGTTAAGATTTTGTTTATTCATTCACTGAGAGACCACAGAGAGAGACAGAGACATAGGCAGAGGGAGAAGCAGGCTCCCTGCGAGGAGTCTGATGTGGGACTCGATCCCAGGACCCCAGGATCATGCCCTGAGCCAAAGGCAGACGCTCTGAGCCACCCAGGCACCCCAGTAATATTCTATTTCTTGATCTGAGTGGAAGTTACATGACTTTGGAAATCTGTTGATTGGGACACTTATGATAAGTACACTTTTCTGCGTACATATTATACTTCAGTGAAGACTTACTTAAAAAATCTCTATCTCATTAGTGTAAATGAAAAGTCAACATCTGGACAACCTGAGATAGAAGATAAAACAAATCAGAGAAAATAGAACACTCCTAAGTTCCAGGTTAATCACGTTGATTCCTGATGTAAAGACTCTGACCCTTAAGACTTCTCTTTCTTTATTTATACAGAGAGAGTAGCGCATAGTGGATATATGGTAAAAGACCCATTAGCACTGAACTGACTTTATCACTGAAAAATTAAACATTAACAAGAGAATCGACACAGCAATCTAATGCCGTGCCACCTGAAGTCACCTTAGATGTCACCAGGGGGATAGGGCTGTCGAAACATGGTTTTATACCCACTGGGGAGCTTTAGTTTGCCACCAAAGACTCAAGTTTTTACAAGAGTGGTTGGGAGGCGGGGTTCAGTTTATGGCTTCTGCAGGATCCTCTATTTTTCTTTCTCCTGTGGGAGGGGGCTTACTCTCCGAGCTATTACAAGAGTCATAAGCAGAACAACTTAGATGGTCAGACAATCTGGATCAGCCATTTACTGTTAGCAATAGAGAGGTTTTTAAATATAGGGAAACCATAAATAATCAGTAACTTACTGATCTGTTCTACTAACTTGAGCATCACTCCCCCAACATGCAGGTCTCCGGACACTCTTAGCGTGACATCTTTCTGCTCCTCCTCATTTGGACCGTCAACTCTGACGATGAGCTCCCAAGAAGCAGATACAAAGTCGCTGGATGAGAGCATCGTGGCAAAGGCGGGTATCTGCCACACAAAAAAAGCAGACACAGATTAGAATGTGAGAAGGAAACTGGAGCTTGTCAGTAGATATTAAATTTAACACCCTAACTTTAAAGACAAAAAGTCCTATAGAAATGGTCCCAGGCCTTCCAAATTTTCGTGACTTTATCTTTCCATTCCCCCCAGGAGCACTGGCCTATTGATTTTCTGTGGCTGCCCAATCAATGCCTCAATCTTTGCTTTGTGTCTGTCCACTTCTCTTGACTTTCTCTGAACTACTATTGTGACAGCAGGCAACAAATCATGGCAATCCTTGGTATCTTAAAAAACATCAACTTCACTGAAGTGTAATTTGTATATAACAAAATGCATAGGTTTTTTAAGAAGTAGGCTCCATGTTGGGGGCTTGAACTCATAACCCTGAGATCAAGACCTGAAATGAAATCAAGAGTCAGGCACTCAACCGACTGAGCCATCCGGGTACCCCTGCAGAGATTCTTCTTTGAGTGTAGTTGACACACAATGTGACATTAGCTTCAGGTGTACAATATATTGATGCAACAACTCTATATGTTATGCTGTGCTCACCACAAAAATGCACAGATTTTAAAGGTACAGTTTGATGCCTTTGTTATATGCAAATTATGCCTTGATAAAGTTTACTTTGGAAAAGGATGCCATTAATATCTTCCTCTATTTTATTATATTCCTTCCATAAATATTGATGACATCTGATATGAAAATTCAAACAATGGAAGTATAGCAAAATAGTTCTCTATTTCAGTCATATAATATGTAGGTTTACATATGAAGATATAGGGCATTAATAATTATTGTCATGTATTTGACTTACTTGAGCTATCATTTTATATCATATAAAAGTCGATAAATTAAGTGCATCATTTAAGGTTTCAGACATACCTCTGGCAAAAGATTTAAAATAAGGAGTGACAGACATACAAAGCCCACTCTTGAAGATACAGATGGGGTGAGAACTTCAAAACCAGAATTTTCTTCTTATCACAGGAACAAAAATAAAGCAAGCTAAGCAGTATGAAAACTGAAATGTTTCAAGGATTAACAGGAACCCTGGAATCCAAAATTGGCAGAACTTTAAGTGATGGCTCTGTGTTACTTTTAAAAGAAAGCAAATGGGGATCCCTGGGTGGCGCAGTGGTTTGGCACCTGCCTTTGGCCCAGGGCGCGATCCTGGAGACCCGGGATCGAATCCCACATCGGGCTCCGGTGCATGGAGCCTGCTTCTCCCTCTGCCTATGTCTCTGCCTCTCTCTCTTTCTCTCTCTGTGACTATCACAAATAAATAAAAATTGAAAAAAAATTAAAAGAAAGCAAATGATACTACCTCTCCTATTTTAATATTTAAAATAAAAATCGGCCATTTAAATGATAATAACACATCTGTTTCACTTTACTATGTAAAGACAGCTTATGAGAAATCCATGTTTTCATAAGGCCTATTTTTGAGAAACATCAGTGCACTCAAACTCCTAAGAAGGGCCTTCTCTGATGGAAAGTGCATGAGTCCCTTGGGGATCTTCTTAACCTCAGATTCTGCTCAGCAGGTCTGGGGTGGAGGTGGAGACCCTGCATTTATAATAAGCTCCAGGTAACACTGATCTATGGCTCACATTTTTGAGTCCAAACAGCCATGTGAAGAATTGGCTTCAGAACTCAGTTCCTGCCTTCCATCTACCCAAATCAATATTAAGCCAGAGACTGTGGTGACACCTGAGGATCATTATTTTTAATAATCAATAATTACACCACCAATGTCATACTAGTTTTGTGCGCATTTGAAACTGCTCACATTTGAAAGCATAAGAGAATCTCAAAATATACAGAAAGATACACTGCAAATCTGAATGGGCTCAGGACAGACTTTATTTGTTCAAATCAAATTCAAGGTTCAGAAGTAGCTCCTTGTGTTTGTGTGAACAGTGTAATGCTTGCACCTCCCCAAGCACAGAGGCACACTTGGAGACCTGCATGAGCAGTGAATGCTACGTAAGGACTATATGGGGCCTAACCACTCGCTTTACTGTCATCATCAGGCTCAAGTATCTTGTGTGTTATACACTTAGCTGGTGCTGTGGATATGAACCACTAATTTGTGTTATCTCCTTCCTCGGCTCAGCAATCCCATTAGAAACGAGGAAACTCAGGCTGAGAGGTTAGGCAACTTGTTGGAAGTCGTGCAGCAGTTTACATGGTGGAGCCCAGACAGAAATCCAGGTCCTTCTGACTCCAAACTCTCCACCATTACATTGGGACATGGCCTTGATAAAACTGCAACACCAATCTGAAACAAGCCTCTTCAAACCACATGAGCTAAACTCTCAGGAGCCTTCTCTTAGCATTTCTACTAATATCTTTCCCAGTGAGGAAGCAATAAAGATAACCCCATAATGTGGCACTGAACTGATGTGACTTTAAGATCCTCACAATTTCTAAAATGCTATGCTGTGAGGTGTAGCTATTTAAAAAGTTTGTACTTTAAAGTGACTCCTTCCTGGGTCAGACACCGGCCTTTTCCTAACTTGGGCAATCAGAACACTTCTCTGAAACCAAAAAAACCCCCACTTCCCATGTAGGCCATATATAGTGACTCCCTTACAGCGAAATTCAAGCTAAAATTAGACAACCTGGTTTCCCCACATTCCTCTCCTATCTTTCTGCACCTTCATTTCTGAGTGAACTTCTCCTTCGCAGCAAGCTGTTACTTGTTGAGGGGGGCAGCGAACTGCAACCCGGAAAGCACGTCGAAGGAGACCAGAACAGAAAGCAAAGCGCACCGGCCGACCTGCCTTCCCTGGGGGAAGCCCAGCGGCCCACCTCCTCCTGTCCTCCTGGCCTACAGAAAATGCAACAAAGGACAGACAGAGACACAGGCAGCCAGACAGCCAGACAGGAGGAGGAGGGACACGGCCCCTGCCGCCTCCCCTCAAGTTCAGAGAGTGCGTCTGTCAAAGGCCGCCCCGCCCGTCCCCGGCCAGTTCTGCAGGGTCCTGGGGCCAGAGGGAGCGAGGTGGGCTGGGTAGAAACCTGTCCTTGACCCCTAAGGGCAGCCCGGAGGCTGACTGGAGGCTATTCTGCAAGGCCAGACAGGTAGGGCCGGAGAAAGCGGCCACGCCGGGGACGTTATCTGCATTTCAGCAGCTGCTGACGTGCAAGGCGCTGCGGAAAGGAAGCCGCAGGGATCTCCAGCCCCCCGCCCCCAGCCCCGGCACCCACCTGCGTTCCCCGCGCCGGCGGCCTGCAGCCTCGCCGACGCACCCGTGGACGCCTGCGCCCCCGGAGCCCGCGCCGAGAGGCGCCCCAGGCCGGGCGCGCGCGAAGCGGGGTGCGGGGGCCCGAGCTCGCGGCGGCGACGGCGCTCGGCTGGGCCCGCGGGGCTGCGCGCGGCGGGGCATGGAAGCCGCCGGCTCTCCCCCCGCCCCCGCCCCCGCCCCCGCCCGCCGCGGTCTCCGCCCCGCGGGGTGTGAGGGCTCGCCCAGCCCGGGCCTGCCGGGTCTCGCTCCCGGGGAGGAGAGCGCCCCGCAGCGCTGTGAGCGCCGGCGCGGCCCGAGGGCTGCGGGCCGGGAGGGCGCAGGCGACCTCTGCACCCCCCGCAGGACGCCTCCGGAGCCCGGGGACCCGGGGCACCGCGGCGACTGGCTCGCGTGGCTGAAGCGCGAGTGCGCGCCCCCCCGCAGGTGTGCCCGTCACCGCCACGCGAGGGGCCTCCGCCCGGAGACCCCCTCCCCCCGTCAAGGAGCCTGGGGGCGGGACACGCCCGGGGGGCTCCGCGCTCCAGCAGCTGCCTTGGCCCGGGGCGTGATCCCGCGGTCGGGGATCCAGCCTCGCGTCGGGCTCCTTCTGGGGAGCCCGCTTCTCCCTCTGCCCGTGTCTCTGCCTCTCTGTGTGTGTCTCACGGATAAATAAGATCCTAAGAGATAAAAAACAAAGAGCCTGGGGGACCTGGGAGGGCCAGGGGGAAGAAACAAGAGCGGCTCCTCCCGCAGTAAGGGGGTGACGCAAACGCCGCCGCCCCACACTGCCCACGTTGAAGACCCGGGCCGCGCGGGGCCCCGCCGCAGGCCGGCGTCCCCTGGCTCGCCTCGGGCGCGCAGCTGGCGTCCCAGGCGGCCTTCGGTTGGATTTACTCCCAAAGGACGCTGGGGCACCCTGGAAGGATGGGTGGTGGCTTTGGGCGACGTACACAACCTGCCCAAGCTTCCTTGGTTCGTGTTACACGTGCCTGTTGAGTGTTCAGTACGTGCCAGGCAGGGGGCTGAGGTCGAAGGATGCAGTAGTTTAATGAAACAGTCAAGGCAATGATAGTTCCCTCCTCTGCAAAACGGGTGGAGAGATGGAACGTCCATCACCATTCCGGGTGGGATTTCATTCAGCCCACGACAGAATTTCATGCAGTGTAATATAGGCTTTAGCCCTTTACACCAAGTACGTAAAGCTTGTGATGACTTAATTTAAAATGGAATCAAATTTAGAAGTGGAATCCTTGTTTTTGCTTGAACATTAACCTATTCAGCCGTTATAACGGTTTTGAAAGTATTTTACATTCATTTTTTAAAAGGTCAGTTGACTGGGACGCCTGGGTGGTTCAGTGGTCGAGCGTCTGTCTGCCTTTGGCTCAGGGGGTGATCCTGGGTTCCGGGGATGGAGTTCTACATCCGGCTCCCTGCAGGGAGCCTGCTCCTCCCTCTGCCTATGTCTCTGCCTCTCTCTGTGCGTCTCTCGAGAATAAGTAAAGAAAATCTTAAAAAAAAAAAAAAAAGGTTAGTTGACTCTGATTTCAAGGTTGTTAAGTTCAAGCCCCACATTGGGTATAGAGATTATGTTAAAAGACCTTTAAAAAGATCAGTTGAATAATTGTTAGCAAATGTGGGATTTTTTTCTTTTTTTTAGTTTGAATTCCAACTTGCCAACATATGGTGTAACACCTAGTGCTCATCACATCAGTGCCCTCTTTGATGCCGGTCCCCCAGTTACCCTGTCCTCCCCCTTACCTCCCCTTCAGCAATCCTTTGTTTCCCAGAGTTAGGAGTGTCTCATGATTTGTCTTCTTCTCTGATTTTTCCCCACTTAGTTTCCCCCCCTTCCCTTACGATCCCTTGCACTATTTCTTATATTCTACGTACGAGTGAAACCATATAATTGTCTTTCTCTGATTGACATATTTCACTCAGCATAATACCCTCTAGTTCCATCCACATCAAAGCAAATGGTGGATATTCATCCTTTCTGATGGCTGAGTAATATTCCATTTTTTTGATGTGTGCATATGTGTGTATGTATGTGTATATATGTGTGTGTGTGTGTATATATATATATATATATATATATATATATATATATATATCATGTCTATATATTTACCACCTCTTCTTTATCCATGCATCTGTTGAAGGACATCTTGGCTGCTTCCACGGTTTGGCTGTGGAAATTGCTGCTATGGACATTGGGGTGCACGTGCCCCTTCATTTCACTACATCTGTGTCCTTGGGGTAAAGACCCAGTAGTACAATTGCTGGGTCATGGGTAGCTCTATTTTTAACTTCTTGAGGAACCTCCACACTGTTTTCCAAAGTGGCTGCACCAGCTTGCATTACCACCAACAGTGTAAGAGCGTTCCCCTTTCTCCACATCCTAACATTTGTTGTTTCCTGTCTTGTTAATTTTCACCATTCTCACTGGTATAAAATGGTTTTGATTTGTATTTTCCTGATGGTAAGAGATGTGGAGCATTTTTTCATGTGCCAGTTGGCCATGTGTGTCTTCTTTGGAGAAATGTCTGTTCATGTCTTCTCCACATTTCTTGAGTGGATTGTTTGTTTTTTGGGCACTGAGTTTGACAAGTTCATTATAGATCTTGGAAACTAGCCCTTTATCTGATATGTCATTTGCAAATATCTTCTCCCATTCTGTATGTTGCCTTTTAGTTTTGTTGGCTGTTTCCTTTGCTGTGCAGAAGCTTTTTTTTTTTTTCCTTGAAGTCCCAATAGTTCATTTTTGCTTTTGTTTCCCTTGCCTTTAGAGACGTGTCTTGCAAGAAGTTGCTGCAGCTGAAGTCACAAAGGTTGCTGCCTGGGTTCTCCTCTAGGACTGGAACAGAATAGAGAACCCAGAAATAGACCCTCAACTCTATGGTCAACTAATCTTCAACAAAGCAGGAAAGAATATCCAATGGAATAAAGACAGTCTCTTCAATAAATGACTTTGGGAAAGTTGGACAGCCACATGCAGAAGAATGAAACTAGACCATTCTCTTGCACCAGACACAAAGATAAACTCAAATGTGGGATTTTATAATTAAAACAAAATAATTAAAACTTGAAACTGAATTTCCTAATTTGATAAAGTTTGTCAACTATGGGACTGGTGTCAACTGTCATCTGGTCCCACTTCCGTATGTGCACAATACCAACTATGGAATTATGTTATCTTGGGCAGAAGGTGTCTAAAGGCTTGCTTTGTGGAGACTGCTTATGGCTGCTTAGAACACAGACATTCTTTAAGATCTCCTGTGTGATCCTAAAGTAGTAATGGCTTTATTTATACCAAATTGGTATCTCATATTGGTTGAAAGTATCTGGATTTTGCTGAAGAATGTAACTGGCTTTAAGCTTTCTGCTTGATCTGTGTTATTTTTTAAACTTTTAATGGAAATATTATATACTTTATATTTATATTCAAGAGTACAACTCATGAATATATAGATGATGAATTTTTATGTACTGAACACACCAGTGTAATGAGCATCCAGATCAAGAAATAGAACCTTATCAGTCCCCAGCAGTTCCCTAGTCCCCTCTTTTTATTACTACCACCTCCCCACCAGCAGCAGCCACTGTCCTGACTTTCAACTCCTTACATGGGTTTTGTTAATCTTTGTACTGTATATAAGCAGTACCAGACAGTACGTGCTATTTAATGTCTAGCTTCTTTTGTTCAACATTATGTTCATTCTATTTTTGAATTTCATCCATATTGTGTGTCCTAGGCCTTTTTTTTTCTTACTACTTGGTTATTATCATTTTTTTTGAGAGAGAGAGAGAGAGAGAGAGAGAGAGAGAGAGAGAGAGAAAGTGACCAGAGGGAGGGGCAGAGGGAGGGGGCTCAATCCCACGACCCTGAAATCATGACCTAAGCCAAAATCAAGAATCTGACGCTTAGCCAACTGAGCCACCCAGGCACCCCTGGGTTATTATCATTCTTCTAACACAGGTCTAACACATCACTTAAGGACCTGGGTTAGAAATGAATTAAAAAGTGTATTCTGGGGATCCCTGGGTGGCGCAGTGGTTTAGTGCCTGCCTTTGGCCTAGGGCGCGATCCTGGAGACTCGGGATCGAATCCCACATTGGGCTCCCAGTGCATGGAGCCTGCTTCTCCCTCTGCCTGTGTCTCTGCCTCTCTCTCTCTCTCTCTCTCTCTCTCTCTGACTATCATAAGTTAAAAAAAATTTAAAAAGTGTATTCTGGACTTTAAAATTTCAGATATATATAAACAAGCAATATTCTCCCTTTCTCTCTCTTAAAAAACAAGCAGAATCAACCCTTTGAATCAGTTGTTTAATTAATTTACACATATTAATTAGGTAGTGAATTAGTTTTTTAATTCATTCAGCCATTGTATTACTGTGGGCTAGACACTGTGACATGTGTGGAAGATACTCAGATTATCTAGGCACAGACTTTATCTTCAGATCATAATTATGATGCTGGGGAATACAGAAGAGGGGTATCTACTTCACCCAAGTTTGCAGAATTGGGGGAAGTGTGATAAAAGATTTTGGAAAGGAGGTGATTTTTGAGATGGACTTTGAAGCATCAGATAAGAAAGTGATTGTTGCCTATAATAACCTGTAGTCTCTAGAAAACTGCTTTAAGATATTTTTAAGTTAGCAGATTGTTATTGGTAGCTTCAGTTGTCAGAAGGTGGAGAATAAAGAGGAGCTGTATTTCCTGACCTCAAAGTATTATGTGTTCATGGTACACATAAATACTGAAACAATAACTGTTATCAGACTCCCATATGCTGAAAATCTGACGTGAGGATTAGTATCTTCCAGTTATACGTTAGTCATGTCCGCATTATCATATGGAATATGAGTGGGTTGGACCGGGTGAGAGCTGTGACCACATTCTTATTCACTGAGCAGGAAAGGGAAGTAAAGAAGTAAAGGATCAAAAAAAAAAAAAAAAAAGAAGTAAAGGATCTCTGATAGTCCTAGTTAGCTTGTTAAACACTAGCAACTTTCTTCCTCTAGCGCCTTTCCACTTCCATTACATGAGCTCTCAGAGCTTAAAAAAATTTCTACATAATTAATTGAGAGAGAATGAGAAAATGCTGCTGGGAATAGAAAGAGGGTGGGATTTTCC